TATAACTACTTTACCCTTCTGAGGAGGTGAAGCATGAGTCCAGACCTAAAGGATGGGGCGGAGCCGCCCATCCCAAGAGGTGAGGAAAGAGCATTTCTGGCAGAGGGGACAGTGAGCGCGAGGATTCTAAAGTGAGCACAGGCTCTGCGTGGTCAAGGAACAGAAAGAAGATTTGTGTGGTGAGGGTTCAGTGGGGTAGCAGGAGAAGGGGTGTGAGATGAAGCTGGAGAGCTTCTGAGGACCAAATCATTCAAGGCTTTGAAGGTCAAGGTAGTCTGGACTTTTATTCCCAAAATATGAGAAGCCACTGAGGAGTTCTGTATGGGAGGAAATAATGATCTACTTTTTCAATTCATTTGTGTCAAAAATCATTCATCATAAAATGAAAAAAATCAAATTGGACCTCACCAAAAATCTGCTAATCAAAGACACTATTAAGAATATGAACACATAAGCCTTAGACTGGGAGAAAGATTGGCAGTACCTGTGTCTGATAAAGAACTTATATCCAGAATATATGAGGAACTATTGCAGTTTAACAATGAGCTCTCCCCTCCCCGAGAAAGACAATGGCAAAAGACTTGAAGTTCACAAAAAAGACTGACAGACAGAATCAGGAAAATGAAAATTAAAAGTACAATAAGATGCAGTATTGCACCTACCAGAATAGTGAAACCCAACTGATGACGTAAACATTTGGCATCAAAAGAAATTCCCAGTGCACTGCAGATAGATGGATAAAATGGGACAACCACATTGGAAAACTATGTGGCAGGTTCTAATAAGGTTAAGCACACACCTATTCTTGACCCAACAATTACATTCACAGGTATTTACCCAAGAAAAATGAAAACATGTTCACAAAAAAAGAAAAACCTACAAGCATGTTCTTTACAGTCTTTACTTCATAATGACCATCAATAGGAGAATGGATAAACAAACCATGGTATATTCATACAATGGAATAGTATTCAGCAATAAAAAAGAGTGAGTTACCGATATACACAAAAATATGGGTGAATCTAAAAACATGTTAAGCAAAAGAAGCCAGACAGAAAAGAGTACATATTGTATGAAGTCCAAGAACACATACTACTGATGCATGTTGGCAGAAATAAAGAAGTAGTTGCCTGGGAGGAGGGGCAGTGCAGTTCAGTGCAGTTGCTCAGTCGTGTCTGACTCTCTGGGAGCCCATGGACCGCAGCACGCCAGGCCTCCCTGTCCATCACCAACTCCTGGAGTTTACCCAAACTCATGTTCATCGAGGCAGTGATGCCATACAGCCATCTCATCCTCTGTCGTCCCCTTCTCTTCCTGCCTTCAATCTTTCCCAGCATCAGGGTCTTTTCCAATGAGTCAGTTCTTCACATCAGGTGGCCAAAGCACTGGAGTTTCAGCTTTAGCATCAGTCCTTCCAATGAATATTCAGGATTGATTTCCTTTAGGATTGACTGGTTGGATCTCCTTGCAGTCCAAGAGACTCTCAAGAGTCTTCTCCAACCCCACAGTTCAAAAGCATCAGTCTTCGGTGCTCAGCTTTCTTTATGGTCCAACTCTCACATCCATACATGACTACTGGAAAAACCATAGCCTTGACTTGGATCTTTGTTGGCAAAGTAATGTCTCTGCTTTTTAATATGCTGTCTAGGTTGGTCAAAGCTTTTCTTCCAAGGAGAAAACATCTTTTAATTTCATGGTTACAGTCACCATCTGCAGTGATTTTGAAGACCCCAAAAAATGAAGTCTCTCACTGTTTCTGTTGTTTCACCATCTATTTGCCATGAAGTGATGGGACTGGATGCCATGATCTTAGTTTCCTGAATGTTGAGCTTTAAGCCAACTTTTTCACTCTCCTCTTTCACTTTCATCAGGACGCTCTTTAGTTGTTCTTCATTTTCTGCCATAACGGTTGTGTCATCTGCATATCTGAGGTTATTGATATTTCTCCCAACAATCTTGATTCCAGCTTGTGTTTCATACAGCCCAGCATTTAGCACGATGTGCTCTGCATATAAGTTAAATAAGCAGGGTGACAATATACAGCCTTGATGTACTTCTTTTCTGATTTGGAACCAGTCTGTTGTTCCATGTCCGGTTCTAAATGTTGCTTCTTGACCTGCATACAGATTTCTCAGGAGTCAGGTAAGGTGGCCTGGTATTCCCATCTCTTGAAGAATTTTCCACAGTTTGTTGTGATCCACACAACCAAGGGCTTTGGCATAGTCAATAAGCAGAAGTAGATGTTTCTCTGGAACTCTCTTGCTTTTTCAGTGATCCAATGGATGTTGGCAATTTGATCTCTGATTACTCTGCCTTTTCTAAATCCAGCTTGAACATCTGGAAGTTCACAGTTCATGTACTGTTGAAGCATGGCTTGGAGAATTTGAGCATTACTTTGCTAGCGAGTGAGATGAGTACAATTGTGCAGTAGTCGGAACAATCTTTGGCATTGCCTTTCTTTGGGATTGGAATGAAAACTGAGCTTTTCCAGTCCTGTGGCCACTGCTGAGTTTTCCAAATTTGCTGGCATATTGAGTGCAGCACTTTCACAGCATCATATTTTAGGATTTGAAATAACTCAACTGGAATTCCATCACCTTCACTAGCTTTGCTTATAGTGATGCTTCCTAAGGCCCACTTGACTTCACATTCCAGGATGTCTGGCTCTAGGTGAGTGATCACACCGTCGTAGTAATCTGGGTCATGATGATCTTTTCTGTATAGTTCTTCTGTGTATTCTTGCCCCCTCTTCTTAATATCTTCTGTTTCTTTTAGGTCCATACCATTTCTGTCCTTTATTGTGCCCATCTTTGCATGAAATGTTCCCTTGGTATATCTAATTTTCTTGAAGAGATCTCTAGTCTTTCCCACTCTATTATTTTCCTCTATTTCTTTGCATTGATAGTGAGGAAGGCTTTCTTATCTCTCCTGGCTATTCTTTGGAACTCTGCACTCAGATGGGTATATCTTTCCTTTTCTCCTTTGTCTTTAGCTTCTCCTCTTTTCTCAGCTATTTGTAAGGCCTCCTCAGACAACCATTTTGCGTTTTTGCATTTCTTTTTCTTGGGGATGGTCTTGCTCACTGTCTCTTGTACAATGTCACGAACCTCAGTCTTCAGGCACTCTGTCTATAAGATCTAATCCCTTGAATCTATTTGTCACTTCCACTGTATAATCGTAAGGAATTTGATTTAGGTCAGACCTGAGTGGTCTGCCATTCAGGTATGGTCTTTCATTCAGAAAGCAGTGGTTTTCCCTGCCTTCTTCAATTTAAGTCTGAATTTGGCAATAATGAGTTCATGATCTGAGCCACAGTCAGCTCCCAGTCTTGTTTTTGCTGACTTGTATAGAGATTCTCCGTCTTTGGCTGCAAAGAATGTAATCACTCTGATTTCGGTATTGACCATCTGGTGATGTCCATGTGTGGAGTCTTTTCTTGTGTTTTTGGAAGAGGTGTTTGCTATGACAGTGTGTTCTCTTGGCAAAACTCTGTTAGCCTTTAACCTGCTTCATAGATGAGAGGAAGCTTTGTGAGTGATGAAATGTATATACCTTGCTCTGGATCATGGTTACCTAAGTACATACAATTGTGAAAACTCATAGAACTGCATGTTTGACATATGAGCATTTTATCATATATGAATTATTCCTCAATAAAAAGAGGTATATTTTTTAAAGAAATGCATGTATGTCTTGCCTTGAACTGTCTTGCCTTTATGAAATGTGACATAGAATTAGGTATGGCATCAGACACACTGGGTTCCAGTCCAGCTGCAGGACCTTGGAAAAGTCACATAGCTTCTTTCCATTTCTACCTCTGCAAGTAAATATAATCTAAATCACAAGATGGCTATGAGAATTAAATGGAAAAATGATGTTAAAGTGTTTAACTCAGTACCTATCACTGGAAACTTCTCAATAAACTTAGCTATTTCTAAAAAAATGTTTTAAATAAATTGTAGGGCAGCTAAAAATGTGTACTGTTGTGCTTTACAAATGATACACAACTTAGGACAAAATTCCAACATCAGAAGGAAGCGCTGGAAAACAGTTAAGTTAAAGGCATAGGTATACTCAGTGGAGCAGCCTGTGGACACAGCTGGTAGCTATTACTTACTTGTGATTATTACAAGAAAATCTGGTACTTTCCGTGATCATACACAAATCTGTCATCGTCATGTCCTACTTCATCTTTTTATCCAGTGTCAAAAGGGAAAAGAAAGGCTGCTTGGAACAAGAACCAAAAGGAAAACAAGCCATGATTATTGGAGGTGGTCCGCTTCAGCTTTTTTAGAGGAAACTCCCATTTTCACCTTTCCAGAGGGCTCTATGGCAAATTATTTATTCAGCTTCAGGACTCATCTGAAGTTTAGATTCAGAATCAGTGGAGAAGGAAGAATGGAATTGAAATGTGTCTTGAACCTGTCTGCTTAATCCCTGCTCCCCGCCAAATCATCTTTCATCTCTCTCAGTCTGATCCACTTTTGAGAAAGAGAATCCATTAGGGCATCCCCTGGAGAGACCCTCCTCTCTTGTCCTCTTGGCTCTGCTTGGAGAGTCTTGAGAAGCTGGCCCACTGCACAGAGTTTCTCCTCCTTCTCTGGGGCTTTTCTGGCAGATCTGGCTGGCCTGAGACAACCCCTTTCCCAGGCTGTATGTCTTGCCTTGAACTGTCAAGGGGCCTTTGTGAAATGTGAGGAGTATTTTGAAAGAGTTAGATTTGGCATCAGACATACTGGGTTCCAGTCCAGCTGCAGGACCAACGGCTCCATCCTGGCTGTAATAACCCCCCGCAGTTATGACAACGAGCTAGTCAAGGGAAAATGAGATTTAAAGGACCCCTTTACCCCATCTGATGGCAGATTCTCTGTGTGCTGCTCAGAGAGCCCGATGGGCAGCTAACCAGCAAGCAGCTCATAGTAGTCTTTGGCTGGGTTGTCTTCAGCCCATCATCCCTTTCCCTCCAGCGGCCATCTGTGACATTCCTTTTCTTTCTGCAGAGACTTTCTGGGAGCTTGGCAACTGGACTCATTGTTCTGCCACGTGCGGCCACTTGGGAGCCCAAGTTCAGAGACCCCAGTGCCTGATGGCCAACGGGCAGGAAGTGAGCGAGGCCTTCTGTGACCAGCTCCGGAAGCCACGGGCTGCGTTCCAGCCCTGTAACATCCGGGACTGCCCCCCGAGGTGTGTGCAGTCACTCTTCTCTCCTTGCTATCAGCGTTTCACTTGTTTTAAAATGCACAGTAATTTGGACTGAATAACTCAACCATTAAGGTTGTTTTATGTGGACTATACTAGGTGCTCAGCTAAGTAGTTTATATGGATCACTTCACAGTCACCTATCAAGTCAATATTGTTCATTTTCCTGTTTAAAACATTTATTTTATTTTATTTCATTTCTTTGGTTATGCTACACCACATAACGAACCAGGGATTGAACCCAAGTCCCCTGCACCGGAAGCTCAGAGTTTTAACCGCTGGACCTCCAGGAATGTCTCCAGTGTTGTTCATTCTCTACTTTACAGTTGGAAAAACACCCCTAGGCCACACAGTTATGAAGGCTAGAATTCAAATTGGGTTAGCCTGATTTCAGAGCTTCTGGTCTTAATTGCCACTCTCACCTGCTCCCTGCACTCACAGTGGACCTTAAGAGCACAGGGAAGATGACTTCATGGGTTCACCTCAGAGATATGGCAGTAGGCCAGCATCACAAGAGGCACTCGTGGAAAGCACCATTCCTTAGACTCTACCCCCACGAGTGGTGGTGTTATTCAGTCGCCTGTCATGTCTGACTCTTTGTGATCCCATAGACTGCAGCACGCCAGGCCTCCCTGCCCCTCACCATCTCTCAGAGTTTGCCCAAGTTCATGTTCATTGCATTGGTGATGCCATCTAGCATCTCATGCTCTAATGTCCTCTTCTCCTTCTGCCCTACATCTTTGCCAGCATCAAAGACTTTTCCAATGAGTCATCTGTTATCAGGTGACCAAAATGCTGGAGCTTCAGCTTCAGCATTAGTCTCTCCAGTGAATATTCAGGTTGATTTCCCTTAAGATTGACTGGTTTGATATCCTTGCTGTCCAAAGGACTTTCAGGAGTCTTCTCCAGCACCACAGTTCAAAGGCATCACTTCTTTGGTGTTCTGCCTTGTTTGTGGTCCAGCTCTCACAACTCTACATGCCCACTGGGAAGACCACAGTCTTGACTATATGGACCTTTGTTGGCAGAGCAATAATGTCTCTGCTTTTCAACACACTGTCTAGGTTTCTCATCACTTTCCTGGCAAGAAGCAATCGTCTTCTGATTTCATGGCTACAGTCACCAACCACAGTGATTTTGGAGCCCAAGAAGAGGAAATCTGTCACTACTTCCACCTTTTCCCCTTTTATTTGCCATGCAGCAATGCAGCCAGATGCCATGATCTTAGTTTTTTTTTACTATGTAGTCTTAAGCTGGCTCTTTCACTCTGCTCCTTCACCCTCATCAAGAGACTCTTTAGTTCCTCTTCACTTTCTGTCATTAGAGTGGTATCATCTGCATCCCCAGGGGTAAAGCCATTAATAACCTTTCAATATCATAGATGACACAAATCAATAGTTTTAAAAGTATCCAAAATCAAACTCATAATCTCCACCAAATCTGATCTGCCCCTAGTTAGTGTTCCAGATCACAATGACTACATCCTAAGCTACCACCCCCCTTTCCTCTCACTTCCATCCATTCCTGTCAGTTTCCCACTGTTCCCAATGTCTTTGTCATTCCTCATAAGGGCCACGTCAGGAGCCTTCTGAGTTTTGTCTCCTATCTAGAGTGCCTTGTCCACTCCATAAGCAGAAACATCTTTTATTTATTTTTTATTGGAGGATAGTTGCTTTACGATGTGTTTCTACTGTACAGCAAAGTTAATCAGTCACATGTAAACATACATCCCCCTTTTTTTTGGATTTCCTTCCCATTTAGTCACCACAGCACGCTGAGTTCCCTGTGCAATACAGTAGCCTTTCCTTAGGTATCTGTTTTATACATAGTAGTGTATATATGTCAATCCCAGTCTCCCAGTTCATCTTCCCAGATGGCGCTAGTGATGAAGAATCTGCCTGCCAATGCAGGAGCTGCAAGAGACAGGTTCGATCCCTGGCTTGGGAAGATCCTCTAGGGGAGGAGATAGCAACCCACTCCCGTATTCTTGCTTGGGAAATCCCATGGACAGAGGAGTCTGGTGGGCTATAGCCCATGAGGTTGCAAGAATCAGCCACGTCTGAGCGACCAAACAAAACCAACAACAAGGAGCACACAGGTGCCACCTCCTTTTTTCCTCCCTTTGGTTTCAATGAGTTGAAATTCACCTTTCCAAAATTTCTACCTAGCTCTGCTCTCTGAGGCCACACAGCTGATGGCTTCTACCTCCCTGAGGGTGACTATCCCACCCTGATGCCATGCTCTCTACACAGTGATTCTGTTGCTTCTGAGTGAAAGGAGATCTGAGAGTATGGCTGGAGTTACTGTGCTGCTGCCCACTCGCAGAGACATGTGTCGGCCCTGAAACAATCATACTGCTACCATGGGCTTCCTCTCTGGAAGGCAGTCCCCGTAGGGACCGTCCTACTAAGCTCCTGTAGTTTTTATTCTTAGGTGGCTCACAGGCACGTGGTCAGAGTGCTCTGTGTCTTGTGGTGAAGGATTCCGCAGTCGGCAAGTGACATGTAAGCGCACAAGAGCCAATGGAATGGTGCAGGCATTGCCGCCGAGAGTGTGCATCCCCAGAGACAGGCCTCTGGGGAGAAGACCCTGTTCCAGTCACCCCTGTGTTCAGGGGCTCGTTGAACAAGGGAACCAGGTAATGCTGACAAATCTAGTGTTTTAAAACCATCCAGTCCCTGTGGTCAAACCCACACGTCCAAAAAGGCACTTCCCCTGGCAGTCCAGTGTTAGGACTTTGCCTTCCAATGCAAGGGATGTGGGCTCCATCCTTGGTCGGGGAACTAAGATCCCACATGCCATGAGGCCAAAACATAAAACAAGCAATAGTGTAACAAAACCCCACCCATCAGGGCCCCTCCCCACAGGGGAGAGGAGAGCACAGACTCCTGCAGGACATTCAGGAAACTCATCTGCACAGGGAGCTGACCACACCACCCACCAGCTGGTTCAGGGGACTTACTATCCTATCCTAGACCTCCCGGTCATAATTAACACAGGCTGCAGAGATCAAAAGTTCCCCTCGGCCCTTCTGAAAATGTTCAGTATTGTCAGTGTGGGAGAATAATACACTCTTTCTGGATTTCTGCCCTGCAGTGCAGCAGTTGTTGCTCTTGAGAATCATTGTGCTAATTCTTAGGTCATTAACCCCAAGTCCTACATGACTACACACTTCTCTAACTGGAGAGGATGCAAAACAAACAGATACATCTTTCTGGAGAAATAAAGTTTATTAAAACTAAAAAGATCCAAGGAGTTGGCAAGAACTATCCCCTCCACCACCAACATGGATGGGGGAATGCGGGGGAAGGGGTACATGCCCCGGGGGACAGTCCAGTCTGTGAAGTTTCACCCAGTGGCAGAGGAGGGGCAGCTGGGTCAGGGTGATGCCTCTTCTGGTCTCCCAGGCTACTCCAGACCATTCTCTGAGTTGGTCGGCATTCCTGAAGGCCATGGAGGTGCTGGATTTGAATCCTATAGTCCACTTGACTGGGTCCCAGGGAGCTCAGCAGGGCTCCTTTTGTCTTGGTCAGTCATGCATGGGTTGGTCTGGGCCTATTTTACTTGTGCGGGTTTTGCTGGGCATCCACAAAAGCAATGTTTTCTTATAAACCTCCATATTCTCCCAGCCACGCCCCTCTTTTTCTGAGGCGAGAGGGAGTGGCTGGGGAGTGGGACTGCCCAGCTTGGTCAGAGCTTCCGGCGGTGTTGGCCACACTCAGGGCGTAGTGGTTTCCCTCTGGGGCTTTGCTGCTGATGTCACGGGTACCGTGGGTGTCTCGGGGGCCACTCTTGTCCCGGGTGCTGCTGGTGTCCCGGGTGCTGCTGGTGTCTCGGGTGCTGCTCTTGCCACGGTTGCCACCCTTGCCATGTGTGCCGCTCTTGCTGTGGGTGCCGCTCTTGCCATGGGTGTCACGGGTGCCGCTGACATCTCAGATGCCGCTGGTGTCTGGGGTGCTGTTCTTGTACTGGGTGTCGCTGGTGTCGTGGGTGCCACTGGTGTCACGGGTACTCCTCTTGCCTTGAATGTCACAGGTGCCGCTGGTGTCACGGCTGCTGCTCTTGTCATGCGTATCTCGCATGCTGCTGGTGTCTCGGGTGTCATGGGTGCCACTGATATCTCGGATGCTGCTGGTGTCTCGGGTGTCATGGGTGCCACTGATGTCTTGGATGCCACTGGTGTCTCTGGTGTCACGGGTGCCACTGATGTCTCGGATGCTGCTGGTGTCTCGGGTGTCACGGGTGCCACTGATGTCTTGGACGCTGTTGGTGTCTCGGGTGCCTCCTGTGCAGCAGATATCGTTAGTGCCCCGGGTGTCAGGCATGTGGCAGGTGTGGCGGATGTCGGGGGTGCCATGGGTGGAGGGAGTGGCCCCATGGTCACACCAGGAAGATGGGGTACGTGGGGGAGTGGTAGGGTCAGTGATCTCGTCTGACTCGTGTGTTGTCTCCGGTATCCGAATGGTCTCCCTCAGGAATAGACAGGCTGGTATGATGGTGGGAATCTCAGGGCTTGGAGGCTGGAGTTCTTGGATGGTGAAGTCCTTCATGGCAAGGGAGGGCTTCACAAGGATGGACTGGGACCCCACCCTGGGTCTATTCAAGCTCAGGCTTTCTGAGCTCTGGCTTTCAGCCCACCTAGAGCCCAGAAGCTTCTGCACTGTCACCTCCGAGTCCTCTTCACAGAGTGGCTGGAGTGGCTCCTACTCATCCATCTAGACCCACGGATGCTGCCGAAGATGGTGTAAAGTAGCTCTGTCCATTGGGTTGAGGGTCAGCATGCTTGCTATTAATGTTCTTATTTCATATGATAGGTAGTCGGGCACATAATAATGCCCTGTGAGCACACACTGCCTCATCTTCCAGTAATCTTGTCCTCGGAAGGGTTCGTACCCAGTCACCATGACGTACAGGATGACGCCAAGGCTCCACACATCCACGGGCGGGCCTGAGTACATCGGCCCCAGGAATACCTCAGGGGCTGCGTAGGCAGGGCTGCCGCAGAATGTGTTTAGCTTCTCTCCAGGGTGGTATTCGGTGGTCAGACTAAGTCTGCAGTCTTCACATTCGGTCAGCATCAAGGAGCAAGTTGCTTGGTTTCAGGCCCCGGTGCATGGTGCCCCGCTCGCGGCCATGGTTCAGGGCCGATAGGAGCGGCCGAAGGGGCGCTGGGCCTCCTTCTGGGTCATGCGGCCCTGCTCATCCAGGGAGGTGCGCATGTCTCCCCCGCGCATGTATTTCATAACCAGGAAGAGAGTTTCTTCCGTGTTAATGACATCAAGGAGTTCCGAGATGTTTTCATTGTCTAGCAGCTTCATACTATTTATCTCACGAAAGAACTCTTGGAGGCTGGAGAAGCTCTGTTTCCATTTCTTTATGACCTTAATGGCCACCTTGGTCCCAGTCACAACATGCCAGGCCAACTTAACTTTAGCAAAGCGTCCTCTACGAAGTGGGTCATAGAGGTTGTTGCTTTGATTTATGTCATCGAGTGTTGCCTATGCTTTCCTCTAAGAGTTTTACAGTCTCTGACCTTATATTTAGGGCTTCAATCCATTTTGAGTTTATCTTTGTATATGGTATAGGAAATGTTCTAATTTTGTTCTTTTACATCAACATCCTCAGAATTCTTAAACCATTCAAACATCAATTCCAAGTCCAAACCTTATTAAAATGTCACTTCGCCAGGTACGGATGAGAAGTGACACATAAAATTAATCCTCGCCGAACCCATAAAGAAAAATACAACATATTGTTGAAACACATAACAGAAAATTTGGATAAGTAAAGATACTCTGAATGCTATAAAGTGGCCCATTCCCTTAAATGAACCAGAACATGTACTTCCAATTCAAATTGCCATAGAATTCTTTTCACGGAACCTCATATGATTTTGACATTCATATGGGAGAGTGAGTGAGGACAAGAGATTTTCAGAAAAACAAATCGATAGGAGTATAGAAAGACTTTCCTAATCTGATGTCGGAGTCTGCTGCAAAACTGTTGTTAAGTAAAACAGTGCAGCATCAGTGCAGAACACACTAAAGTCGTGCAGTATGATAAAAGGACTCAAACCGACCCATTTAAAATGAGTTCAAAGTCCAAAAGCAGTTAATCATAGAGGGAAGAAGACTTTTTAAAAAATGAACACTATAAAACTACAGAAAGTTTTTTTTAAAGGACATTAAAGAATGCGTTGATTGCTCCGTCATGTCCGACTCTTTGGACCCCATAGACTGTAGCCCGCTAGGCTCCCATACCCATGGCATCCTCCAGGCATGAATACTGGAGTGGGTAGCCATTCTCTTCTCCAGGGAATTTCCCCCACCTGAGGATCGAACCCAGGTCTTCTGCGATGCAGGTAGATTCTTTACTGTCTGAGCCACCAGGGAAGCCCAAGTACTGGTAAAGAAGACCTAAGCAAATGAAAGGCGTCGTGTATTTACGGATCAAAAGGCTTAGTGTTATTCACGTGACGGTAAATTGATCTACAGATTCAACACAGTCCCCATCAAAACCCCAGCTTTTCTGTGGTACATATACACCATGGAATATTACTCAGCCATTAAAAAGAATTCATTTGAATCAGTTCTAATGAGATGGATGAAACTGCAGCCCATTATACAGAGTGAAGTAAGCCAGAAAGATAAAGACGAATACAATATACTAATGCATATATATGGAATTTAGAAAGATGGTAATGATAACCCTATATGCAAAACAGAAAAAGAGACACAGATGTACAGAACAGACTTTTGGACTCTGTGGGAGAAGGCGAGGGTGGGATGTTTAGAGTGAACAGCATCGAAACATGTATATTATTAAGGGAGAAACAGATCACCAGCCCAGGTTGGATGCATGAGACAAGTGCTCAGGGCTGGTGCACTGGGAAGACCCAGAGGGATCGGGTGGAGGGGGAGGTGGAGGGGGGATCGGGATGGGGAACACATGTAAATCCATGGCTGATTCATGTCAATGTATGGCAAAAAACACTACAATATTGTAAAGTATTAGCCACTACAATATTGTGAAGTAATAAAAATAAATGGAAAAAAAAAATCCCAAAGCAAAAAAAAAAAAAAAATCCCAGCTTCTTTGCAGAAATTGGCAAGCTGATCCTAAAATTCATATGGAAATATAAAGGACCCAGGGTAGCCAAAGCAATCTAGAGAAAGAACAAAGTTAGAGGGCTCAGACATGTCAGTTTCAAAACTTACAACAAGACAATAATAATCAAGACAGTGCAGTACTAACATGCGCTTCCTAGTTGGCTCAGGAGTAAAGAACCCACCTGCTAATGCAGGAGACGCGGGTTTGATCCCTGGATCTACTCACTCCAGTATTCTTGCCTGGGAAATCTCATGGACAGAGGAGTCTGGCAGGCTGCAGTCCACACTGACCATGGGATCGCAAAGGGTCGGATGTGACTTAGTGACTGAAGAACAACGTGGTGCTAACATAGCATAGACACATAGATTGATGAAATTGAGTTGGAAGTCTAGAGATAAATCCATATATCTATGTCAATTGATTTTCTACAAGAGTGACAATACCAATTCAATGAGGGAAAAACAATTTCTTCCTCATTGGTGAAGGATAACTGAATATGCAAATGCAAAAGAATGAACTTGGACTCCTAGCATATAAGGTATACAAAGCATTAACTCAAAATTTATCAGAGACCTAAATTTAAGAGCTAGAGCAATAAAGCCCTTGGAAGAAACTCTGTAGCCATACATCTTCATGCTTTGGATTAGGAGACGGTTTCTCAGATATGATACGAAAAACAAGCTACAAGAACAACAAAAGTAGATAAACGGGACTGCATGAAAATTTAAAGCTTTGTTGCTACAAGGGATGTGATCAAGAAAGTGGACAGCCCACAGAGTGGGAGAAAATATTTAAAAATCATATACATGAAAGGAAGCGTGTCTCTAGGCCTGTTTGTAAGTCCAACAAAGTTAGCCTAGGTACCCAACAAACACAATTGGCTATAGAGTACTGCACTATAATAGGTTTATGATACTTTTCACACAAATAACACATAAAAAGCAAACACAAATAAAACATTCTTCATCTTACATTATAGGACCTTGGAAAAGTACAGTTGTACAGTTAGAATAGCTGACATACAGGAGCACATTTGCATCTTTGAAAGTTCTCAACTTGAAGGTTCTTATGTAGGGGATTTACTGTAAACTGTATACATTGAATAGTGACTTTTAGGCTATGTGAATTGTATCTCAATAATGTTGTTAGAAAATTTTAAAAAGCAATTGTATAAGAGAGAAAGTGGTCAACTAATTTAAGAGGAATAAATAAAATGGTAGCCCAAACTCACCACATACAACAGAATAAATTCTGCCTTGGTTAAAGTGCTTTAGTGTAGTCATTAAACTGGAGTAGAACTACCAGGATGGGAAAGACCTTTTCAAGCATAAAACAAATGACAAGGAAAAATTGATATGGGTTATTAGTACAGAAAAATTTAAGAGCTGAATGTTAATTTTCTTCCTATAATTCAGCTCACCCCTACACACAAGCCTCTATTTTTGCTCTAAGCAGGAAAACACAAACTTGGCTGTAGCATGCGCTTTTAAGCACAGTGATTTCTGAACGTTAACCTGGTCAATTAGGGATTGGCCCTGTGCTTTTCACTCCTTCTCCCCAGGGGTGGTCTCAGTTTCTGAGGAGGAAAAGAGGATGAAAGGAAACTTAGGTAGCTGTCTGGCTCTGAAGGAGGGCAATCTGATCCTTACAGCTGGGCTTCCCTCCTCCCTACCTTCTCTGAATATTCGCTGGAAGGACCAGTGCTGAAGCTGAAGCTGCAAACTTTGGCCAGTAATGGAAAGAGCTGATTCATTGGAAAAGACACTGATACTGGATAAGATTGAGGGCAGGAGGAGGAGAAGGGGGCAACAGAGGATGAGATGGTTGGATGGCATCACCAACTCAATGGACAAGAGTTTGAACAAACTCCAGGAGATGGTGAGGTACAGGGAAGTCTGGCCTGCTGCAATTCATGGGGTCACAAAGAATGGGAAACAGTTGATCAACTGAACAACTTTCCTTCGGCCAGCTAACCCCCTGTAGCTGGCCTCTGGCAACGGCGCCACAGCACATGGTTTGGGTACCCCAGCATGATGAGCTCATAAGGTTGTTTTCTTTTAATTTTTTAAGATTAGTCTTTATTTTCACCATGCTTCACCGCCTGCGGGATCTTAGTTCCCCACCCAGGGATCAAACCCCTGCCCCCTGTGTCGGGAACACAGAATCTTCACCAGTAGACTAACAGGGAAGTTTCTCACAAGGTTGTTTATACTGCACTGTGCTTTCGTTTCAGTGTCCTGGACGTTGCCTGGGTCGCATTGTAAGGATGCAGCAGCATCACATAATTTGTCAGCACCCCAACAGTTCTGAGTCCGGCTGTGATGACACAAAGAGGTACTGGCCCCACCCTAGGTCAGCACACAATCTCTCCCACCTCAGATAAGCACTGTGATGTCTGAAAATGGCATCATCCCTCCCATACACTACGTCTCATAATGCACAGTTCAATTATGATTTCTTATGATGCCATCCTCCATTGTGTATGTTATGCTCTTGCTGTTCCATCACAGAGGCGTGTCTGACTCTTTGCAACCCCATGGACTGCAGCATGCAGTCTGTAGGGAAGCCCTGTCCTTCAGATCTCGTGAAGATTGCTCAGATTCATGTCCATTGAGTCAGTGATTCTTTCTAGCCATCTCATCACCTTGATTTCCTTTAGGAAACTGGTTTCCTTTAGGAAATTGGTTAATTGGTTTAATCTCCTTGCAATCCAAGGGACTCGAAAGAGTCTTCCGTTGAAAAGCATTGCAATTTGAAACCATCAGTTCTTCAGTGCTCAGCCTTCTTTACAGTCCAGTTCTCACATCCGTATGTGACTAATGGAAAAACTATAGTTTTGACTGTACGGACATTTTTGGCAAGGTGATGTTTCCACTTCTTAATATGCTGTCTAGGTTTGTCATAGCTTTCCTTCAAAGGAGCAAGCATCTTTTAATTTCATGACCCAGTCATCATCCACAGTGATTTGGGAGCCTGAGAAAAGAAAATGTGTCACTGCTTTCACTTTTCCCCTTCTATTTGGCATGAAGTGATGAGACTGGACACCATGATCTTATTAGGCTTTTGAATGTTGAATTTCAAGCCAGCTTTTTCACTCTGCTCTCTCATCCTTATCAGGAGGCTCTTCAGTTCCTCTTCACTTTCTGCTATTAGAGTGGAGTGGTATCCTCTGCATATCTGAGGTTGTTGATATGTCTCCCAGCAATGTTGATCCCAGCTTGTACTTCATCCAGCCTGGCATTTTGGATGATGGACTCTATGTATAAGTTAAGGAAGCAGGGTGACAATATACACCCTTGACGTCCTCCTTTCCCAATTTAGAACCCGTCTGTTGTTTCATGTTCTTTCTATTACTTCTTGACTCACTTACAGGCTTCTCAGGAGACAGGTAAGGTGGTCTGGTATTCCCTTCTCTTTTTGGAATTTTCCACAGGTCGTTGTGATCCACGTGATCTGCACAATCAAAGGCTTTAGCATAGTCGATGAAGCAAAGAAGCATAAGTGTCAGTCACTCGGTCATCTGCGACTCTTTGCAACCCCATGGCCTGTAGCTTGACAGGCTCCTCTGCCTGTGGGGTTTTCCAGGCAAGAATACTGGAGTGGGCTGTCATTCCCTTCTCCAGAGGATCTTCCTGACCCAGGGATCGAACCCGGGTCTCTTGCATTACAGGCACATTCTTTACCATCTGAGCTACCAGGAAAGCAAAAGTAGAAGTTTTTCTGGAATTCCCTTGGTTTCTCTATGATCCAGCGAATGTTGGCAATTCGATATCTGGTTCCTCTGCCTCTTCGAAACCAAACCTGTACATCTCAAAGTTCTCAGTTCACAGACTACTAAAGACTAGCTTGAAGGATTTTGAGCATAACCTTCCTATCATGTGAAATGAGCACAACTGTACATTAGTTTGAACATTCTTTGGCATTGCCCTTCTTTTGGATTGCAATGAAAAGGTCACTTTTCCAGTCCCATGGCCACTGCTGAGTTTTCCAAATTCGTCAGTTCTCTTTAATTTACAGATTAAATCTGGATCCTAGTGTTTTCAATTATTCTAAATGTATTCCTCTGTTTAGAAACTGTTTGATTAGGATGTTGGGACAGTGGGTTGGCAGAGAATAAAGTAAACTGTTATCTTGTTGATGGGCTTACACAAGAAGATTGCTTCCGTCCAGTATAAAAGTCTGAACTGGTAGATGGTTTAGGGGGTAGAAGAGCTCTGCTCCCTGAGGTCACTCTGAGATCCAGACGCCTTCCATCTGGCAGCTCCACCACCCTAGGGGAACATGCTCCAGCCAGAGAAAGTGAGGAGAGAGCCGAGAGGGCCACCAATGGAATCTGGACTTCTGCCACTCTCTTCTTGGTGTGACTTTGAACTTTCTGAGCTCCTAATCTTCAATGGGGTATTACTGTCCGTGTCAAATTATGGTTGGGAAGTTGTTTTTTAATTGAAGTGTAGTTGGCTGACGCAAGTGTGCGTTAATTTCTGCTCTACAGCCAAGTGATTTAGTTACACATATGTACACATTCTTTTTAAAATTCTTCTCCATTATAGTTTATCATAGGATATTGATGTAGTTCTCTGTGCTACACATTAGGAACTTGTTTATCCATGCTGTATATAAAAGCTTACTTCTGCTAACACCAGCCTCCCACTCAGTCCCTCCCGCAACCTCCTCTCCTTTGGCAAACACCAGTCTGTTCTGTCACTAATTCTGTTTCTGTTTCATATGTAGGGTCATTTGTGTCATTGTTTAAATCCCACTCATAAGTGATATCACATGGTATTTGTCTTTCTTTTTCTAACATTTCACTTAGTGTGATAATGTCTAGTTGCATCCATGTCACTGCAGATGGCATTATTCCATCCTTTTTTGTGGCTGAGTAGTATTCCATTGTATATATGTACTACATCCTCATCCATTCCTCTGTCAATGGACACTTAGGTCATTTCCATGTCTGGTTGTGTGAATAGTGATGCTATGAACATCAGGATGCATGTATTCTTTTGATTTTTAGTTTGTCCATTTTATACCCTGGAGTGGGATTGCTAGATCATATGGTAACTCATGTTAGTTTTCTGAGGAACCTCCATACTGTTTTCCACTGTGGCTGCACCTGCGTACATTCCCACTAGCAGGGTAGGAAGGTTCCCTTTTCTCCACACCCTCTCTAGCATTTATTTATAGACTCTTTAATGATGATCATTCTGACTGGTGTGAGGTAGTTCCTCACTGTAATTTTGATTTGCATTTCTCTAGTAATTAGGGATGTTGAGTACCTTTTCCTGTGTTTATTGGCCATCTGTATTTCTTTTTTTGGAGAAATATCTATTTAGGTCTTCTTCCTATTTTTGAATAGGTTTTTTTATTGTTGTTGTTGAGTTGTATGAGCTCTTTGTACATCTTGGAAATTAAGCCCTTATTGGTTGTGTCACTTGCAAATATTTTCTCCCATTCTGTAGATTGTCTTGTGCCTGGGAGGTTTTGATTAACTGGTTTAGTGTGAAGTACTTAGCGGCCTGAGTCATAGCAGATGCTCACTCTATGGCTCTTCCTTCCTCCTCCACATCATGAGTTTCCAGGGAAAATGAGATGACCCTGACCATTGGCTCAGTTTCCATTTTGAAACTTCACTATGTTTTGTCGATGTAGTGTCAGCTGCATTTCCTATTCCCAACACAATTCCAGCCAGAACCATTCTTCTCGAATGGAAAATGTTCAGAACAGCCACCCTGATTCTCAACAGAAAACCTAGTTTCCAATTTTGTTCATAAGATAGAGACCATACACTGATTGATATGTATTATCAGAGATGTTTTACTTTGCATGCTCAAAGATATATTTATATTACAAACACACCTGGTTTGTGCTTTCTTTATAATAAACCAGACATATTTTTTATGAAACTTGCTTTTTTTCCTACTGATCAATATGTTATTGACTTTGCCCCATCTGAGTACATAAGGGTCACTTCATTCTTTTAAATTGTTGTATTTACTATTACCTCATTCTTGTCTATTGCTGATGGACATTTAATTGTTTCCATTTTTTACTATTGCAAACAAATGCTGCTGTAAACATCCTGGAATATATATCTTTATGCCTAAAGGGTAATACTCTTATAGGATAGATTTTAGATATGGACTTAAATTGACTGACATGCTCATCTGGATACTGCTAAATTACCATCAAAATGTCTCTACCAACAGTATATGAGAGTCCCCCTTTCTACCAACTTTATGTAGATTTCCAATGTTGTAAAAATTTTGCCAATCTGATGGATGAAAATTTATATCTTAATGTAATTTGTACTTTTCTGTTTTTTATGACTTTTGGCTCTTTGTGTTTTTTTCTCTAACCGATCCACTTCTTTCCTTCTTTACCACCAATCTGTTTGGCCAAGCCATTCTACTAATCTCCCTCCATCCACCCATGATCCTTTCTAACCCAGACTCCATACTGTAGCCAGAGTAATCGATTCCAAAATGCAAATCTGATTTTACCATCCCCACACCCATCTCCCTGCTAGATTAACAACACTTCAGAGGCTTCACTTTTCTTAGGGCAAAGGTTGACCAAAATTGACTATAAAATATTGCACAGTCAAATCCCACCTCCCTACACAGCCTCATCCAAGACCTCACTCTGTCTCACTCTTTGTGTTCCAGCCACACTGTCCTTCTTTCAGTTCCCAGAGTATGCCATTCTCTTTCCAACTACTTTCTGGAAGCCAAAACAGGAAGCAAAAAAATATTCATGATAATAGAGAGGACAACAAGGCGTGGAAAGATCTACCAAGAGGGTATCTGACTGAGTAGGCTTTTGGAGAAAGATACATGGAAAAGAACTGAAAGGGAGACATTTTTAAAACAAACAATAGAAGACAAATTCCTTGACCCAAGGAGGAAAAAAAAGAGTCGAATTGCCTTTTATTTTCTCTATTGTTTCTGCTTCATCCAAGGTTGGCTGTTCAGCTTTAATCCTAGTGCTTTTCTTTCATGCTGTTCAGTTCAGTTCAGTTCAGTTCAGTTCAGTTCAGTTCAGTTCAGTTGCTCAGTCGTGTCTGACTCTTTGCGACCCCATGAATCGCAGTACGCCAGGCCTCCCTGTCCATCACCAACTCCCGGAGTTTACCCAAACCCATGTCCATCGAGTCAGTGATGCCATCCAACCATCTCATCCTCTGTCGTCCCCTTCTCCTCCTCCCCCCAATCCCTCCCAGCATCAGGGTCTTTTCTAATGAGTCAACTCTTCACATGAGGTGGCCAAAGTACTGGAGTTTCAGCTTCAGCATCAGTCCTTCCAATGAACACCCAGGACTGATCTCCTTTAGGATA